TATTTATAAATTAAATTTACTTCTAAAGAAAGAAAAATAAATGGATAATATTTACTATCCATATTTTAAATCTCTTCAATTATTACATATAATGCATCAACAAGAATAGAGTAAGGAATGAGATTATTAAGAGATGCTAAAAGGGTAAGTGAATGTTATGCACATTCATTATTTTCTTGTAAATTTATTTTTAAATGAGTTTTAAGTCTTTCATTTATTTCAGGAATCTATTGAATATCCAATGCTTTTTATTAATAAAATGATTGTAATGTTTTTATTGCTTATTTTCTGAGTTTTTTTTTATCACTTATAGTTTATTATAATAAAAGATTAAACAATTGATGCATTTTTGGTGAGTTTAAATCCTTTTATAAAGAATATCATTTACTTCTTTAGATGATAATATTAAAATTTAACCAAAAACACCAACACTTAAATTATCTAATTAGGCTTTTCCTATTTCCTCTAATAAAGCAGGAATTAACTTTCTTACGACAACAATTGGAACTGATGGTAATATCTAAATTTGATAGAGATTTGCATTACTTTATAAATTAGTAAAATAATAACATCCTAACCTTCTTTGGTAGATTTCAATAAATTAATCAATTGTGCAATATATGCAGTAGGATTTGTTCTTTATTCAAGGTTAAGATTGTTTTCAATGGACTATAATAGTATTAATCCTTTTTCATTTTAAGGTGAGCTTTTTTATCGTAATTTTGCTTATAGTTAATCCTTGAATGTCTCGACTTACATAAATTAAAAATTAATTTTATAAATAAACTCATTAACAATTCATTATAAGAATGATCAATCATCTAATTTAAAGGAATTTGTATTGTTAATCTCTATATTTCATTAAGTTCTATAAAACATTCTATTAATAACATTCTAATTCCCACTATTTATATATAAATGACTTTGATTATTTATTTTTTCAGTCTTATACATATTAAATTTCTTAAAAATGTTTAGTTATATAAAATTTTTAGAATATCAAGTAAGATAAGAATTAACAATTCATAAATGATCTCTTTTAATATATATAGTTTAAGTAATAAAAAAAAGTATAATAATTATCCAACATTAATTAATGTTCTCATTTTACACTTAGATTATTATTATAAGATATTTTGTTTTAGTATAAGTAATTAGCATAATTATTAATATAATATATTGTATATTAAGTGAATGGATCTTTTTATTATTTATAGATGCACTTAGATTACTTAGATATTCAAAAAACTGTTATATCTATAACGAAATTCTAAGTATTTGAAGGAGTTCCAATATATTGATAGTTATTTCTGATCAAAATACTCATATTATGAAATTAATTAGTTTTGAGTATTATAATTAATTCCTACCCCCACCTGATGTTCATTTCGTGTTTTTATTTAAATATCATTAATAAAATGTCAGAGGATATTAAGACTAGAGCTATAAATTATTTGAATTGCACACTTGGAGATATGCATGAAGGAGAGCAACTAAATTTTGTTTGTCTTGATACTACTTGCAAAGAAATGGGTCTTATATGTCCAGTTTGTAGATCATAAAAACATGCAAAACATAAAGTGATTCCATTAAAGATATTCCTTGCTGATATTTCAAATAATGTTAATGGAAAATAGAATCAAAATTCTATTGACTAATTATTGACTTAAATAGATCAAGTGCGTACCAAATTATTATCAAGTCTTAAAGAGACAGTACAAAAAATGGTTTTGTATATTATTTATACTACTATAAGATAAATAAAATTATTAGAAGATTAAATCAATTTAAGTCACAAGAATACTAAACAAAGATTATTGGAATAAAATTAAACATAAATGAATTTTCCATAAATATTTTAGTAAATACTCAATAGTCAATATAAAAATGTTGATTAACTTAAATAGGATGTTAGAAAGATAATAGAAAATGTTAGTTAATAATAGGCTGGAAAGATTGAAATTGATTTCAAACCATAGAGATTATTTGATTAATATTAAAAAGCTGTAATCTAATTCATACTTAATATTGTAGTCTTAAGAAGCAATTGCTTAATTTAATCATTTACTTACGTAATTCAAATCATCAACTTCCAAAATTTCTAAGCCTATTGAAAAATTCACTTTACCAATATTAGCATAAAATTCAACTAATTTCACATTTAGTAGTGTTATAAAATCTCCATCGATTGTTATTACAGAATAAAAGAATGCTCATCAAACTGCTAATTAAAATAGTGAAAATAGGTTTATATTAATTGAACCTCAAATTGTAGAGTCTTGTAAAATAGCTATAAAGATTTCAAATTTAACAAATTTTATTGGAATAGGAATTGCTTACAAAAATGTACTTTTAGGAAAGAAGTAAAAAAGTATTATAACATTTTAAGTATGAAATTTGATCATTAAAATTTGGGACATGGTTCTTATATGATATCTTCAAATGCACATACTTGGTCTCATTCTAAAAAAGAAGAGAATATGGTTTAGAAATCATTCACTTTTACAACTGGTGATATTATTATTGTGGAAGTTAATTTAGAAAATAAGGTAAATCTTTTATCAAATTTAGACACTTAAATTTACATGTAAAAATAAACCAATTGATACTTAAGCTATAACATTAACATTTGATAATCCAGATAATGATGATATTCATTTCTGTATTAATATGTGTTCTTCTGGTGAGAAAGTAGAAATCTTAGATGATTTGGAATGATTGTAATGTAAAACAAAAATTTATATATTAAATATTTATTCAATATGTAATAATAAAAAGAATATATTCCAATAGTTTTGATTGACGATAAGATTAAATAATAGAGAATTGAAACAGAATTTACAGAAGAAAAGTATTAACATATTTAAATATTTTACTATCTAGACTACCATTAATTGAATCTGTGATTAAAACTAACAAAACCAGCACTCATTTGTTAAATTCCAGAACATCCTCTATTAAATATATTATTCCTACTGGTATCAAACCTATAGTTTTCCCAAACATTCTTTAAAAAACAAAAGAAGATATGATTAAATTGAGAAAATATCAATTAGCTTAATTGCACTTTGATGGTGATTAACATTAAAATACAACAAATTTGAAAACAGAAAACAGACCAAAGAAAACTGAAAGAGATAAATCAAGTCAAAAAATGTATACTTAAGTTACAAAAAATTCATATAACAAACCCATTATAACTGAACTCACAACTCTTGCTAGAGATAATTATAGTGCTTCACCAAGATCAGACTCCTTTAAATTTAGAAGTTTAAGTCCAGAAATTGAAAGTTAATTATGGTAAGTCAATAATAAAGTAAATCGAATTAATAAGGCATATGAAATACAAAAAGAAATCCATCATTTAGAAAGATTTAAGACTTAATGGAAAACAGATGTAATTTAATAAAATTTATCATAAAAAATTGTATAAGTAGGTTTAAATACAAAAAAAGGTCTAAGACCTATTTTCATTTTAATTTATTTACCACATTAGAATATTCATTTAAGAAGTTCTTAAACTGAAGTTAAATCAATGTAAATATTATTATTATATATAAATATTTAGAACAAATGAAGTTGAATTAAGTGTATTTCCTTATTTTGTACCAGTTTATGAGAAAATAATTAATGAAAAAGAAATTTCAGAAAATTATAAAGAATGGTTCTCATATTTTCTTGATATTTTACATTATAGAAGTTACATTCCCTAAGCAAAGACATTTACATTGGATAGTATTGAAATTTCAGCATTAAATTAACTTCCATTATATGAAAAGTTTTTATATATCCAATTATAAGTAATGATTTATTTATATTAAGTAGGGTTAATTTGATTTTTGGAGTATTATGAAATAAAAATTAAATCTTTCAGGTGAATTTTAAGTTGATAAATATCCAAAATTAGCAACTAAGTTATTAGATCTTAGAAGTAAAGATGAAGTTAGTAGATTTTTTTGTAAAAGAGAAAATTTATTACCATTTTATTTTAGATAAGTTTAGATGGGAAGTTAAACTTCTATTCCTTCATAATATTATATTGAAATAGAAAATAATATTAGAGAACCTGATGATGAAATGTTTGAATAATCAATTATTTAAATGAATGAAAAGGAATAAGATACTTATTTAAAATTATTGTAATAATATATTCATTCAAATAAATCAAAATATTCAAAAAAATTAAAGAATTTAGAAGAGAATATGAGATTAAGATTAAAAAAAATAAAAGCAATGAGGAGATAGTCTATTTAAGTCAGATTGAAAACAGTAATTTATAATATTAATTATAGAAACATTTTCTTAGACCAGAAGAGGAAGAACATTTTGAGAGAAGATTATTATATGAGGATGAAAAATCAATTGAAGAAATATAAGAGGATGCTTATGATCATATTTTACCTTAAAATACACATATTTTTAAAAAGAAATCTAAATAGATTACATCAGTTGAAGATCCTTTTTAATCTTTTAGTGCAAAAGACAATTAAAAATTTAAGGAAATTCTATAATTAATTAATGTTGAGAAAATAGTTTTAGAAAAGAATTTATCAAGATAGGATGTTTATCATTATTTATCACTTTTTAAGGCTTTGATGGATTCAGATACTCCTTAAAGAATTAAAGATGTTAATTATCCTACTCTATTTATATCACTTGATTAATTACGTAGAGGTGTTCCATTTATTGCTTTATATAAAAATAAGGTTAATACTAAGAAACTTGCAGAAGTATATAGTAGAAAATATAATTATTGTGAATTTATGGAATTTTTGGATATATTTACTACAGATTATAAAGTAACAGAGTAGGAATTATAAGAAGTGGAATAAGAAATTATATATTCATAATAGAAGCCAAATCAAGGAACATCTTCTGTTTTATAGAAATAGGCATCTGTAATTTTGGGAACAGAGAATCAAAAAAAATGATATATATTTTGATAAAGCTGTTCATTAATTTTTAATAACACCAATAAAATAAATAAAGATTTATTAATATCATTAAGTGAATTTATTTTATTAAGCTGGCGTTTGTTTTCGTTGATTATTGATTGAATATTTATTGATTTCATGAATCTAACAAATTTCTTCCTAAATAACTTCGAAATCTTAATGATCTTCTTCAATTGCAATTTTACATGGATTTTATACTTGTAATGAATTTGATTAAGTTCTTTAAGGTGTTACATCTAATTTAAGTTTTATAATAATAATAATACTTGATGATCCTGATAAAGAAAGATTTGAAATAGATTGATTTAACAATTAATTCATAATTGGACTTCTAGCAAATATGTCAGAGTAATGTTAAAATTATGGAATCATATTTGTAGGCATATATAATTAAGGAGGGTTCATTTAGTATACAGGAGTAAAGCACTTTATAAACCAAGGATGACAAAGTGCTTATTTGGCAGTATATCTAGATTGTGGATTTGGAGATAACATAATCATTAAAAGCTATAAAGCTAAAGTTAATTTAAATTTTACCTTCAGGACTAATCTTTTATTATAAATTATTGATTGTGTAATCTATTTCACAATTATAATTTTTGATAACAAGTTCATTTTTTGATTTAGTTTGAAATGGAGATTGTCCACTCAACCTTATATTTGTAAATCTTCACTTACATAATAAACATTAAAATTCCTGCACTGAACACATCGACTTTGTAATCATAATTTTTCTCTTATAATATTTCTGGTGCTACATAACCTGGAGTTCCACATCTTTTAAATAAATATTTGCCTTCTGGATTGTAATAATCAGCCAATCCAAAATCTGCAATATATACTTCAGATGCATTAAGTGGAGAACGAAGGATTAAATTTTCTGGCTTATTTTTTTATATTATAATATTATACTTTTATATCTCTATGAATAATGCCTTAAGAATGTAAATAATCTAATGAGTTAAGTAGGTTATGCATTAACAATGCTACTTGAATTTCATTAAACCCTTAGGGTTAATTTCGAAGATACTGAAATAATTCTCCTCCTTCTAAATAATCAGTTACTAACCAAATATGATGTTCAGTTTCATAAACTTCATATAATCTGATGATCCCTGGGAATTATATTTTTCTCATAATGCTTATCTCTAATTTTAAAGCATCCTAATATAATTAGAAACTAAATATATTACCCTTTCAAGAGTTAGATTTTTGAAACTTTTCTTCTCAAATGACTTCACAGCATATGCAAAATTGTCTCTACCGATTGCCTTGTAGACCTAAGAATTGAAAAAAAAATCGATTACTTTAGCAAAATTTCCTTAACCCTAAATTTTTAATAATTTATAATCTTCATTAAAAGATCTTTAAATAGCATATTTCTTGATCAATTGAAACCATAATTAGTATTCTTATTCATTAGTAGTAAATTCAATTTATTTTTTATTTCTGCTTAATCTAAAAGTATATGGTTAGTTCGTTTATTCTAAAATAATATTATTGAGATCAATATGTCTTTTATATGTAGTGTCAACCTCTACTAAATATTCATTAGAGATGAAAAACTTTCCTTTTTTTATTGATTAAGAATTTGTTTTTTTCATTGTTAATACACTTGAGACTTGATATATTTTAAAATCAGGTTTTGATTTTTACCATAACGGTTTGTTGGGCTCATCAAACAATGAAATAAAGTTATTGTTGCACTCTTTATTCATTAAAAAATAATAATCAGAGGATTTATTAATAAAAATAAAATGATATTAGGTTATATGATATCACTGATATATTATGACATCACCACACTTTCAATCTTTTCATCAACTTTAGATCTAATTTTTATTTATATTGATATAAATATGAAATAACAATACAAAAATTTAAAAAATACACTTTTTTAAGTTAGCCGTGATAAACAATTTCAAATTTATCAACAATTATAAATAAGCTTAACAGATTACTTTATATCCACTGTTCTAAATAGATTTAACAAATTATATTTAATTTTATAATCAAATAATTTACTGACAATCTCCGATTTCCATATTTATTCCAAAACATTCCTGTTTCTTATTTACTAATATAAGATCGATTACAATATAAATGAGAATTAATATATTCAAAGCATATTTATCTTCAATTAAATTAACCTCTTATTAATTAAATTCCAGGAAAGCTATCTTTAGGTTAAAATTTCTGCCTAATATTTATGTTCTTCCAAATTTATCCAAGAATTACACTGCTTGATTGAAATCATATATCCTTCATTATAAATTGTCTATTATAACAAAGATTAAATAATTTCCTGTCTTTTTCAAACACCCTCTTCTTGATATTTATCAATTAATATAAATTTTTTATTATAATATTTACTTAAAATGATTTATTTATATAGGTTTCAATTAATATATCTATTTTTTTATCCATTCAAACTATTCCTTATTTTACAATCTTCTATTTAATCTAACTTAATTCTAATAAAATTTTGTATTTGTCTAAATTATATCATACTTCAAACCTCTTACAATTAACTTAATTTTATCTAATAACTCTTAAGTACTATTTTAATACCCAATAAACCCAATTTATTTATAAACTAATTTAATCCAAAATGAACTCGTAAATATTAATATAAAATTTTTTGGCTCAAAATGGCCATAATAATTGGATTACATCTTTAAAATAAATCCTAATTCTTAGATTTCCTCTTATTATTTTTAATAGAAATAACTTGATATAGATTATCACAATTTATTAAATAGAAAAATATGATCCCTTTTAATAAGTACTAACAATCAAATTAGTTATCCATTGATCGCGTGGTGTAGGGGTTATCACGCGTCCCTAACAAGGACGAGGCCGCCAGTTCGAGACTGGCCGTGATCATGTTTTTTCATTTTTATATTAAAATTTAATTGATTTCAAATAAATCAATATAGAAATAATAAAACACAATGAAAAAAACTTACATATAATTAATTAAATAATTAATTAATTTTAATAATAATATCATCTAATAATTATTCATTATCTATATAAATTCTTTAAAATGGCACTAAAGTTAATTACAAATAGGATTATTTATGATTTTATCAGAGTTTTAAATATTATATTTAAAAAAAATGAAAGTTATTATTTTAAATAAAATATACATAATTTATTCTTTGGACATTTGATGAAAACTAAAATTTATTTTTCACTCTGATTAAATTTAAAGTATATTTTATTATTAATAAATTACATTAAATGACAAAATAATAGATCTATGAATATTTCTATTCAACCTCAAAATCTATAAACTTTTATAAAAAATCAATTAAAGTAGATAAAAGAAAAATTAGATCAATTAATTTTCTATTTCTAAATAGATAATTTCAGGAAATATGATAAAAGTGTGCAATAAAATTAAGAATACTAATAATAATAATTAACTTTGTAATTCACAATTTAAATTTCTGACTACATTATGAATAGAAATGTAAATATTTAACTAAAAAAAATAAATATTGAAAATATATAAACTCTTTTATCTGTAAGTACTATTTTTATATGTGTCAATTTATATTATTCATAATCTACTTAATTGAAATACGATTTAAACAATAAAAATAAATAATATAATTCAATATTCTAGATCTCTCTTTTTAAATTAATCCAAAATTGGCAATATATACTTAAAAACATTATTTAAGTCTTCTGTCTTTTTTCCTCCTGTGATTACACATCTACCACTAACAAATATAAGCAAAGTTATTTTTTTTTAGTCTGTAATTTTTCTAAATATCAATCCAGGAAATATTTCTGGTTCATATTAGACGACTGATCGATATTATTAATCTTTAGTAAATTCATCTAATTTGATTGGCTTTCTGAAATCAAAACTTGCAACAATATTCTATATTGTAAAGTTTTTGAACACAACAGGAAAACCTAATTTGTTAATAATCTTTGCATATTTTCTAGCTGCAATTAAAGATTAATCTTCTGATTTAGCTCCTGTACAAACCATTTTTCCAGATTAAAATATTAGTGCAGTTGTACTAGGATTACTTAATCTCATAATAACAGCTGAAAATCTCTTTGGATCTAGAATACAAAAAAAGAATACTATATTCAGCCATTCTTGCTCCATTTGATATTACTACTAAATTTAATTCTGTTCCTAGATCTACTGTGGATACAACATTTTAGATTTTTGGAGGATGTGTACTACGAATCAATTCTTCTAATCTTTCATTAATTTCTGGAGTTGTTTATAATTCATTTTTCATTAAATATATATAATTAATATAGAAACTTTTTTTCTTTGAATTAAAAAAACAGATAATATATTAAATATAATGTATAATCAAGAAACCTAATAATCTTAAGCTTAATTAGTTCTTACAGAATTTGTTACTTATCTAACTTAGCTAGTAGTTTATTTAACTGAAACAAATTTATATCCTTTTCCACTCTTGATTGCTTCAGTTTAAGTTTCTGTCATTTAAATTTCATCCTATACTTCAGTTAATCTCGAACTTAATTGCATCACTTTTTATCTAAGTTGTTATAATTATAAATCATATTCTCGTGTAGCTTCTGTGGCTGGATCATGTTAATACATAAGATCATTTAGTTTATTTCTAAGAATTACAACAGAATTCATTTTCATTCTTTAAATATGTTCTAAATGTCCAACTTCTAATTGTAATTATTCAATCTATATATTAATAATATATTATTACCTTTTGAGTATCTTCTGATTTTATTGGTAAATCTTTTTTCAATTTTTTCTCATTAATCTTTTCCCATAATTAATACATTTGTTCTTCTAATTTAAAAACTTGATGTCTCCAATATAATTCAATTTCCTCTTAATTATATTAAGATTTGCCATCTTTATTTATTACTTTATACTAAACAGTTTATAAAAATGATGGAATAAAATTTTGAGCTTAATATTAAGTTGTTAATTAATAAGCTTATTTCAAAGCTTCATATTATTCTAATTACTCTTAATATTAAGTTTATAATTAAGAAAAAGCTAAATTATTTTGTTAAATTTCCTCAGATTATCTATAATATTTCTCAGCCCATTCTTTTTATTTCAATAACAATTCTTGTTATATTAACTGAGATTGTTAAAGTTATTAAGTATTAATGTTTGTTTGAGTTATTTAAGCTTATTAAATTTAAGGTTGCACTTAATATTACAATTACATGTTTGGGATTTGTGGTTAATAGATAGCCTATTAAATAACATTAGAAGAATTGTTAATAGCAATTGGAGATGGTTATAGTTGAATAGGAGCTTATTATACAATCACTGGAGATTGTTAAACCACTATTGGTGACTTCTATTAAATAATAGGAGGGGTATTAATCATTTAAGATGTTATTGGCATCATTCTAGGAGGAGTTATTGCTTATTGTTATCTCAATTGCATTGGGGATAAAGCAACACCTTCTACAACCTTTCGAGATACTATTCTCTCAGGAGAAGTATATACAACTAATTATTTTTAGATTTAATACCTCTCCCTCTTATTTATTATCCAGTCATAGCATGTGATGACTAAACGAAATTTGATTCTGTTTATGAAGTATGTTCTCCTGATTGACATAATGGACATTAAGGTTCATATTGATCAGAGTAATAAGTCATTACTCCTGCTGGTTATGGTGGTAATTACATAAATTTATTTATGAATAATGGAAATAAATTTTATCTTAGTTATTTTTAAATTAATTTTTTCTTTATTTATTTATCAAATTTAGAAGTTTAAATGTCTTATTAATTGTTATATTAAATGATGAATTTTCATCATTACTTTTATTATTCAAATAATTATATTATTATTATTATTATTATTATTTATATGCTTGGGTAGTTTCATTCGAAATATGAAATTGATGATTTGTTTAGAAAAATTATTGAAGATAAGTATGAACTTATGTAACGTACTAAAGCAGATAATCCTAATTTACTTTTACCTAAAGATTTTAGTAAATTCATTACTGAAAGATTATTTATGGATTTATTACTTACAATTTATGATTATTGTGTAGAACTTCATAAATTAGAAAAAAAATAAGCTATTTTAGATTAATAAAGTAAAGAAAGAATTGGAATAGCTCCTAAATTATTATCATCTGAAACAGATAAAATTAATTAAAAATTAAAGGAGATATCTGAAATATATTCTAAGATTTTATTAAAAAAAGGCACTTATAATATCATAATCAAAGACTAAAAATTCTTTGAAACCTTAATTTATTTTATTACATAAGTAAAAAAATCAAAAAATTAATTAGGTATTAAAAGAAGTCTTTGACAAAAGTGATTATAAATATATTGAAGAAGAAATCAATAGAATATTTAGAACAAATCCATTCAATTTGTTAAAAAGAAAACATATAAATGAAAAAATAGAATAAAAACATTATGGTGCTAGAGATTATAAAGTTATTAAACATGATTTTAATCCAGATGATGATTTATCAAAAAATGAATTAATATAAAGAATTCTAACAAGAAGAGGTATGCCTAAAGTAATATAAATTAATATAATAGAGCATAGACAGAGAAATGATGGTTGAAAAATCAAATCTTAAACCTTTCTTTATAAAATCAACTAGATGTGCAGCTATTAATGCCAGATCTCCATTAATTGCAATTATGTTTCCTTCTGTTAAAGAGAGGTTATTTCAAATGGAAAATGAAAGAAAATAAATGGCTTCCAAATTTACTTAATAGTAAAAACATATTAAGGATAAAGTGGAATTTTGGATTTAAGATTTAGAAAATAGATAAACAAGAATAAAAAGTGAGCATGAAAATATTCATGATAAATCAAAAATTAAAAATAAGGGATCTTAATCTTTTTGTTAATGAAACACATTAATTACTTACAAATTCAAAATTAAATTTTATCACTATTTATTATATTTAAACGATTTTACTATAACTTTATTTTTATTAAATAATGATTAAATCTATGAGATTCATTTTCTAATATTGATTTAAGAATAAATTTATGATGAAAAAAATCAATCATAAAATTTATTATTAAATCATGTTAAATTAATTTTTAAATAAGGAATAAATCAATCAAAATATAAGTTAAAGAATTGAAATTATTAATAAATGATTTTTAATTCAAAATTTATCTTCTTAAATAAAAAATTTGGAATAAAATAATATAATTTTTTCAAGCAAATATCTTTTTAATGAATTCTTTCTCTTGTTCATTTAATTTTGTAGGCATTTTTACAATGAATTTTATATACAGATCACCTTTAACACTTGGAAGTTAATGTATTGGCATACCCTCTTGAGAAATTTACTTTACCTAATAGAATTTAATAATTATAATAATATACTTCAAATGGTTAAATAATTTTATTGCTTTCAACTTCTACATAATGATTATCTAAATGCTTAACTCTTTTCTTAAATCCTAATATAGCTTCTTTTAAAGTAATTTCCATATCCATGTATAAATCATTACCTTTTCTTTCAAATAGAGGGTGTTTCATTTATCTTAAATAAAAAATAACATCTCCTGGGAAATAATCAGGACTCTATTCACTTTCTCCTCTAAAAACAATAGTTTATCCATCAGTCATGCCTCTTTCAACTTCTATTTGCAATGTCTTTGATGTTTATTAGACTCTATTTCCTCTACAATTAGAACAATTCCCTGAACTAATTTTACCTCTTCCTCCACATCTATCACATGTAGTTTGCATTTAGACAGTGAAACCTATACCCATATTTACATTTTGCATTCTTTAACCTCTACCATTACAATGTTTGCAAATTTTTAATGTTCCATCTTTTGATCCAGTTCCTTTACACTATTTGCATAAAACTTTCTTTTGTAAAGTAAATTCTCTATCTGTACCATTATACAATTCTTCTANTCAACTAGATGTGCAGCTATTAATGCCAGATCTCCATTAATTGCAATTATGTTTCCTTCTGTTAAAGAGAGGTTATTTCAAATGGAAAATGAAAGAAAATAAATGGCTTCCAAATTTACTTAATAGTAAAAACATATTAAGGATAAAGTGGAATTTTGGATTTAAGATTTAGAAAATAGATAAACAAGAATAAAAAGTGAGCATGAAAATATTCATGATAAATCAAAAATTAAAAATAAGGGATCTTAATCTTTTTGTTAATGAAACACATTAATTACTTACAAATTCAAAATTAAATTTTATCACTATTTATTATATTTAAACGATTTTACTATAACTTTATTTTTATTAAATAATGATTAAATCTATGAGATTCATTTTCTAATATTGATTTAAGAATAAATTTATGATGAAAAAAATCAATCATAAAATTTATTATTAAATCATGTTAAATTAATTTTTAAATAAGGAATAAATCAATCAAAATATAAGTTAAAGAATTGAAATTATTAATAAATGATTTTTAATTCAAAATTTATCTTCTTAAATAAAAAATTTGGAATAAAATAATATAATTTTTTCAAGCAAATATCTTTTTAATGAATTCTTTCTCTTGTTCATTTAATTTTGTAGGCATTTTTACAATGAATTTTATATACAGATCACCTTTAACACTTGGAAGTTAATGTATTGGCATACCCTCTTGAGAAATTTACTTTACCTAATAGAATTTAATAATTATAATAATATACTTCAAATGGTTAAATAATTTTATTGCTTTCAACTTCTACATAATGATTATCTAAATGCTTAACTCTTTTCTTAAATCCTAATATAGCTTCTTTTAAAGTAATTTCCATATCCATGTATAAATCATTACCTTTTCTTTCAAATAGAGGGTGTTTCATTTATCTTAAATAAAAAATAACATCTCCTGGGAAATAATCAGGACTCTATTCACTTTCTCCTCTAAAAACAATAGTTTATCCATCAGTCATGCCTCTTTCAACTTCTATTTGCAATGTCTTTGATGTTTATTAGACTCTATTTCCTCTACAATTAGAACAATTCCCTGAACTAATTTTACCTCTTCCTCCACATCTATCACATGTAGTTTGCATTTAGACAGTGAAACCTATACCCATATTTACATTTTGCATTCTTTAACCTCTACCATTACAATGTTTGCAAATTTTTAATGTTCCATCTTTTGATCCAGTTCCTTTACACTATTTGCATAAAACTTTCTTTTGTAAAGTAAATTCTCTATCTGTACCATTATACAATTCTTCTAGAGTAACATGAATTTCTGCTTAAGCATTAGGGCCTTTTTGTCTATTATAATATTATGGATTTGTAAGACCCTCTTCTCCATAGCTAGAAATATTATGAAAAGATCTTACAAGTCATAAATCATTCTTTTTTCAGGATCTGTAAGAATTTCATAAGCTTTATTGATATCTTGGAATCGTTTTGTAGCTTGCTTGTCTCCTGGATTTTTGTCAGGATGATATGTTACAGACAATTTTCTAAAGGCCTTCTTGATATCATTGTCACTTGCTTCTGGTGATACTTCTAATAATTTGTAATAGTCCTCAGCAACAACGATAGTTAGAAGAATGAATAAATACACGTACATATATTTTTAAATGATAATATTTTTTTTGGTTTGTCTCATAATCATCTTTATCGATTATCTCTTGTAATAACTCTTTCTTCTACAACTGCCTGTTATGCTGGTATCATCATGTAGTATTGCATTTACATAGTTTACATTTACAGTTATCTTTAATAAGCCACTATAAATAAAGAAAAGAGAATTAGTATAAGAGTTAAATTTACCTTATTCTTCTGGAGTTCTAAACTCTGGCATAGTTTACTATGGAGCCATTTCATTGTTGGTTATTTAATAATTAGCTAAAGCATTCGGAGGATTAATCAACAAGGGACTATATTAAATATTTTAGTTTACGTTGGTATATTGATTGTACTGGGATCTACACAAGTTTTAGCAAAGTAAGCTCTATTTATTATTAAAAATATATTACTTTTTAGCTCCTTCTAATAATGTTTCAATTTCTCTAATTGCAATATTTAATTATTCCTCAGTTCCACTTAAAACAAATGCTTTATGATCTGGTCTGACTTAATAATCAGGACTTTAAGTTATAGCAACAAAAGCACCACTTCTTTCACTGATAGCTTTAATAGTCACTCCTTTTTTTCCAATGATTAGTGCTACAAATTAATCATGTACTTGGAATTCTATTTTTTTAGCACCAGGAGCTGTTCTAACTTTTCTTTATGTATCAATAATTTCTTATAACAAACCCTGACATTTTTTAACACAATCAGGATCTCCAACAATAAATACATTTCTTGTTTAAGAACCAGGAGCAGAATCAGCAGCAACTTATACATTTTTACATCCAGATTTCTCTTTTAATTATTAAATAGTTTCTCCTTTTACACCAATTACTAATCCAACAAATTCATTTGGAACTGGATAAACATAAGCATCCTTGCTAGGTGGTCCATATGGAGTAGTCATAGATAAATCACTTGGATCTACACTACCAGTTGATGCTATTGGTTGAGCTGTTGTTGGAGTCTATTAAGATTAAGCAATTAATTTCATTTATTCTTATCTATATCGTTATACTATTAAATAAATATTATTATTACATTCATCAGCATCAGCTAATAATATTCTTTCTATTCTATCACATGCATTTGCTGCTTATTATGGTGTTTCTGCAACCACTAAAACATGTAAATCTTCATCATCATCAGGTTGAGGTGGTTATTCTGGTTTTTATGATCCTCTTCCTCTAACCAATATTTTAGCTCCTGTTTCTTCTTCCAATTTTTTTTGACTCACTCCCTTGGGTCCAATAATTAGACCAATATAATTAAATGACAAATCAGGAGGAATCTTAATCTTTCTTCTAACTTTTGTTGGGTCATTAAGCATTTTTAATATTGTAGGATTCATACCAGGTACCTTGAATAACTAATTATCATTACAAATGTATATTGCATCTATGTTTACATTGTATGAGACTATGGAACAATCAAAGCTTGAGCAGCTAAAAATTTTAATGTCTTCTACTTTGTGGTGTTGCAGAAGTTTTTGGATTATTGTACATATCTCTCAAAAAATCATCTGTATTTCCAGTCTTTGGTTAAGAAGCTACACCCCAACCTGTAGATCTTCCTAATCCTGTCTCTACCTTCTTCCTGTCTCTTTCTTTCGATTTTGATTATTTTCTCTCTTTAGATCTAGATCTTTATTTTTCCTTTGATTTAGATCTATTCTTCTTTTTCGGAGTCCTTGACCTTGATTATTTTTTCCCTTTACCCATATTTTATTTATTTAAAATATTGCTTTTATTTTTAACATATATTTATATATAGATATTCAAGTAATCTTTTATTATTAAAATTTAAGTTTCTTTTTGAATCCTTAAAAATTCTATATAATATTATATCACTCTTAAATTATGAAAAATACATGATTTAATTTGTCTAATATTGTTAAATGAAAATAATATAATGTCAAAATAGATCAATAGATTTTAATTTTTTCTAATTTTCTATAATAAAATAAGGATTATATTATAAATATTATGTATTTAATAATATAACATTTATTGATAATATAACTAATAAATATAAATTGAAGTGTTAAAATAAATTATTGGATATAATATTTACATTTCATTTATATTTTAATTTTAATTTCTAACTTATAAGTATAATTTAAATTATTCATATTGAGTTTGATTATATGTGTAGCTAATTATTTAAGATGAATGAAATAAAGAATAGAAATGAAAAAGTAAATAAATCAAAATAGATTATATAAATATATATTCAAATTAATTACCTAAATTTAATATTATTGTTACAACATTTTTGAATATCATTTTCCATCATACAAATATTATAATTGTATAAATATTTGGTGAAGTAAATAATATTAAAATAATACTTGTATATATAAAAAATTTGTTCTAAATAGATTTCAGTAATTTAATAAAAATTATACCTAATTATGAATACCTAAAAACTTCCCCATTTATAATCACCAAAGAGACCTTAAACAAAAGCAAAAGCTAAATCAATTACTATGAATTTAACAATCAAAGATTCTCTATAAGAAATTTCAACATTTCGAACAACAACTTAGAGCAGATCAAACATATAATTATCTCAAACTGATAGATTAAAAACATACTCTGATGTCTCCTATCTCAATTTTCGAAATGTAACTACAAAATAGTCATCTGTCTCTTCTCCCAAAATACCATTAAGCAATATTGCTCGTGATCCATAATTATATGAATTCGTAAAATTATCGGTTATATATTTAGCATAGTTAAGCTAATAGAACAAACATTTATACATCTATTATAAAAGAAAATGTAAAAGGAACCTTTATTGATAATCCTGCAGAATTAAAAATAGATGATAAAACAATTGATTTTTCACCTTTACTCCAAAATATCAAGATACATTAATTTAAATATTACCTTCAATCTATTTTACAATAAGAATGTAAAACTATCTTTGATACAAAATGTCCACCTAATAGATAATAAGCTATTGATCTATTATTATGGTTTGATAAGATGATTCAAACTTTAAAGACTGATAATTTGCGATTAATATCTGATTTAACAAATTAATTGTAATAAGTTTATTAAACTTGTATACATGAATTAGCTAGATAAATATCATATGAATGTAAAGAAAGAGGAACATTATTATTAATTATTTGGAATTCATTTGTCTCTTTTATTGAAATGCTTATTTAAAATGTTGCAATTAATTTTGATGAAATGGAAACCTAATCTATAGATACAGTTCATAGAATTTAAAAGACTCATTAAACATTTGTTTAATAATTATAATAAGAAATTAATCAATTAAAATAATAAATAGAATAATTAGAATTAGAAAAATCAGAATTAAATGATAAAAATATATATTTAGCTAAAAAAAATCTTTAATTAACTAATGAGATAAAATTATTAGGTTCTTAATTAGATGAAATGACTGATAATCATAATAAAGTTTATAATGAATTAATTTAAACAAAATTATAAATAGAAACTCATTCTACTTAATAAACATAAACTACATAAAAAATTAAAATTGGAATCTAAGAAGGTTAATCTGTAGTAGCACATTTATTATCTATGAAAAATACAATGTTTTCTAAATTATAAAAAAAAACTTCAATTTAATTTGAGAAAGTTGAATAATTAAGAGAAGATGAAGAATATTTTAAATAAGGATTATCCAAAACTGATATTGATTAATTAAATTCAACATTTTAATACTAAAATATGTTGAAATTGTAATCAAGAGCATTAATCCCTATTAACACAGAAGATAGTATAATATATTTAATTATCTTAGAGGATGTTCAAACAGATTCTACTTTTTCATTTTTATTTGATCATATTGAAGATTTATTCAATCAAAGATGGACTGATAAATGTCCTAATATGTAATCATTGTTATAAAATTTTAGTTAGATCTCAAAAAATGAGATTAATCAGAATTATAAAGAATAATTAATACAAATATTATAATTCTGCAATAATAATTAGACAGATTCAGATGTAGAAATAAAAAAGAAATTTATTGAATAAATGTTAGAATTACAAGAACAAAAAGTAAATGCAAAATATTATGAACATACATTATAAGAAGCAACATAAGAATTTATAGAACTACTTAAAAGAAAGAAATAAAAAATAAAAAAACTAAAAAAGAGTTAAACACAATTATAAAATCGTCTTAATTCTTGTAAATATTATTTTATATTTATTTAAAGTATAAAGTGAAAGTAGTCCTCCTAAATAAGAAATTCCATAAGTGCTTGTAAATTCACCAGGAGTAAACACTCCTTCATTTAGAAATTCTTTAGCCTTCAATTAATAGGATATTTTATAAGAGGATATTATTGAAAGTGATGAAAAAAGTGAAGAAGATTCAATGATGTAAAATATTTAATAAAATAATAATAATCAAAATTAACAAAATTTTGATCTAGATTAATCAAATAATTAAAATATTGTTGTTGAAGATTTAAAATAATTTTAAGATAATTTTACTGAAGAAGATAATCTAATTAAATAAGATATATAAGAAAATTAGAATTAAGAAAATAATAATTAAAGTGTTGATATAAAAAATAGTGAATCAAATTTATCAAAAGATATTAATATGAAGAATTCTCAAAATAAAAATAATTTAAATACTAGTATTAGTAGAAAGAATAGTAAAAGTAGTTAAAGTAAATAAAGTATAGAAGATTTGGAATAATTAAATTAGAAATAAAAGAATTTATCACCAATTAAAACTTAATCAAATAGAAAATCTTTATAAATTAAAAGTTTATCAGCTATTAAGGATTTAGATGATGAACCAAAATAATAATAATTAAAAAGAAAATAATCAAAAGTTGTCAAACATTAACACTAAAAGTCTATAAATACTATAAATACACTTGATTAATCAAGTGATGTTAATGAAAGTGAAAATTTATCTTTAGTTTCTAGTGATGATTTATCAGATAAAGCAAAAGAAGAAGATATTAAAAAAATTGAAAAAATAAGAAATTTAGTATAATAATATGGTGGAGTCAATATTTAAAAAAGAAGATTTACAAAACCAGTTGCTATTAAATTATCTTTATTATCTGATTTAAAAAAAGAAAAAAGAGTCAAAAGAATTTATAGTCAAAATACAGATGCTGCAAATTCATTATTACATGAAGTTATGAATGTTAAACTAAAAAAATAAAAAGATTCAATAATACCTATTTCATCAATTATCAAAATTTTTAATACTATTTTAGCTGATACTGCAAAAAATTAAGAAGGATATAAAATTCCATTACATATAAGTATTTATGACTTTTTCTTAAAAAAGTATGGTTTTAAAAATGTAGCTGAAAAAAAAATTAAATAAGTATATTTAATTATTTGAATTTTAGCTACTTTAATTTATCTTTCATAAGAAAAATTAATATCCAAAATTATGTTTGATCTCAAGATTATGTTATATGGATGATGAAATGGATGAAGCTGTGTATAAATTAATTGTAGAATCAATTAAATATTTTCATAATAAGTAAGTATCTAATTTATTTAGAGAAATACAATTAAATAAACCAGAAATCAATTTAACATATGAATAACTAATTGAATATTGTAATGATTTTCTTTAGCAACTACTTGGTTAAACTTATATCTCTTAACTTTTACAGTAATTAAAATAAAATAATAATAAATGTAATTTTATTATATTAATAATCAGAAATTGTATTTGAAAATGTTATGATCTAAGTTATGAATCTATATTTTTAAAAAAAAAGATAATGTGAAGATAGTTTGAAATTGATATTTTAGGCTGCAGATTTGGATGGAAATAATCTTATTGAATTCTCAGAAGTATTATAATTTTATCATAATAGTTTAAAAATTTATATAAAGCAATACATAATAACATATATGACAAAAATGTTGCATTAGAATAATTCATTAGTTATGCTGATTATATAGAAGAATTATCCAAGAATAAAATGATAACACTCCCAAGATTTGCAGAAATGGCCATAGAACTTAATTTGTTTTCTAAAGAATAAATTAATTAATATAGCAAAGGATTCGAAACTCTATTATAAGAATGGGAAGATCAAAAAAATTATATTAAATATAGATATTTAAAGGCTGAAAAATTTCCAAAAGTTAAATTTACTTTTAATTTATTAACTGAATAAATTAATTTACTTAAAAAGAAGTAAAAAACAACTCATGACCCTTAAAGTAATAGTTGATTTATTTTAGCTCTTTGGGTAAGCTACAAATTACTACAAGAGAAATCACAAAGAGTTGTTTTAAAGTATTACTTATTTTATATTTAAGTCATGAAGCCAGAGAATGCTTCTTTGATTTAGTCCCTCATGAGTTATGGATAATACAACAAGGATATAGGGCAATAGAAGAACTATGTATATGATAAAAAATTAGATTTCATTTATAAATTTATCATTTATATCAAAAGTATAAATATAGAATTTCTCTCAAATTTTTTTATAATTAATTTTTGGATAATCTTATTATTTCATATGTCTATATAAAAAATATATATATTACATCTAATAGAATATTGCATATCTAATTAATTAAATATATATTTCATTTAACCATAATCAAATACCTACAATAAAAAATCTGAATTTTAATTCAAATTTTTGTAATTATATAATCTATTTAAACAATTCTTTTTTCAACTTAGTTATTTTTATTATTACTTTACAGAGCAGAAGTATTAATTTTTGTTGATAATCAATAATCAGATGTAATTTAGATTAAAGTTTTCAATTGATATTTATTAATCAATTAATCTAATTATTCTTAGAATATATACATTCTTAATATTTTAATTTAATTACTTCATGAATTATTGAGCATTAAATAATGAAGATCCTAATGAATAATTATTTTTTCTTAAATATTTTGGAACAACTAATGTATAAAATCAAATCATTTAATTAACAATTATTTATTACCTAAGCGAATAATTATTAGCACATTGATTATACATTATTATTTATAATATATCATAAGGTTTATATATAAGAAATGCTTCAAGGATTTTGTTATGTCTCAATGTATCAGCCTAACTTTACTTTAAACTTAAAGATATAAAAAATAGTATTGTTTATATATTACTGTCAAATATTAACATTAGCTTTTCCAATAGATGGATGGAATTTATGGAATTATTAGGATGGTGCTTTAAGAATGATGAAAAATTTATTAAATGTAATTTTGATTTTTCCTTTCGTAATTGAAGTAAAATCATCATCCTTAATCTATATATTGATTGTACTATTCTCTTTATTCAACTTATTTATGTTGTCAGCAATATTTTGGATTGTCAAATTTAAGAATAAACTTTCATTTATAGTAGGAATTACATATTGGTATTTAGTATTAGTCCCAAAATTATTTTTTATACCTTAGTTGTTTATATTAATAGGATCTTTGTCTTTTAGCTAAAGAGGATTATTATATTCAAATTTTTAATTCCATGCATTTTTGCCAATTAGTATACTATCCATATTAGTATTAACTTATAATTGTTTCTTTAGCATATATTTTATTAGAAAAATGAGATTATTAAAAGATAATGGTTTAATATAAAAATTTAGTCAATTATGTTTTTTGAGAGAAATGTTAGTAATAGCAATTATTTTTATACATTTTTAGAATAGAATTCCACTTATAAATGCTTTAGAATTGATATTAATGAATATATTTTTTTTTACATTACTTTTAGAAGCATTACATTTTGATATTTATCATCCTGAAATTCAAAAATTTGCATTAATTTTAATTTCAGGTTGTATAGGATTAGTATTGATAATATCAATAAATGTGATTTCTAAAAATAAATTAATATCTGAAGAATAATTAATAGTGATTTAATTAATTGTAGCAACATTAGTTGTTTTTATTTGCATTTTTTCTCAAAACAGAAAAATTGTATATCAATTATAAGGATATAGTGAATCTCATTATTAAATATAATTTGTAGAATGGCTATTTTATACTTTAATAGAATTAAATTAAAAAAGAAAAAAGTAATAAAATTTATTTTTTTATATAATATTTATCCAATATCATTAAAAAACATGTATAAATTGTTTAAAAAAAGTACTTCAACATTAAAAGATTACAGCTAAATCAATAAAGTTCAATGTTCTTAATTGTGTACTTTAAAATGCATTAAAATTATAACATATAAATTTTGGCTCAGATTATGAATTATTAGAAATTTATTATGTTGATTTTTTAAATAAAATTAAAAAATAACCTTTACCAGCATATGTTACACTTAAAGGGTTTGTGTTGAAACATCAAATGATATCATATCATTTAAAAGCAACAATCAAATATCTATTTTAAGAATTAGAAGATATTATTTTAACAGATAATAATCTTGTTGAAAGTAATAATCATGATTATGAAAAAAACTATCTTGATGTAAAAAACTTTATTTAAGCATATTCAATAGAAGAATAAATATTACCTTAAATAATATAACTTATAGATTAAAAAATATAAATTTGGAATGAATAGATTAATGGATTAGATACCATATAGGATTTAGAAAAATTAATTGTTAATTATTCAAAAAAACTTTTAATTTGTTAAAATTCATTGTAATCTTAATTGCAAATAGATTTAATGAATTTAAATTAAATTTAAAAAGTTAGAAATGTTATAGAATTAAGAATCACATCAATATTTTTATTAATGATTTTTAATGATTTTTATGGTTCTCTTAAATGTGAATAATAAATATCTGATATTTTAATAATGGAGAATTCACTACCAAATGATTTGATTAGTAATATTGATATTCTCCATGATAATATATGTTTGATAATGGTAAGCATGGTTAAAGATAGAGGATTTATTAAAAATAATCATAAAAATTAGATTGCTAATTATTTTGGATTAGATATAAAAGAATTGGAAAATAATAATCATATTAATTTATTCATTCCTCAATATTTACTTGAAATTCATACATAATTATTATAATCTTATTTAGAAACAGCATAATCTTCATTATTTAATTAATATTAAATAGTATTTAGTAAATTAAAAAATGATTTTGTTTAACCATAATAATTAAAATTAGAAAATAATTTCTGTTTTTTTGATGATTATATATTGACTGCATGTTTATCAAAAGTAAAAGAAACATCAGAGTTTATATTATTTGATGAAAATGGCAGAATTCTATCAGTAACTTAAGGATTTTATACTGATATAATAAAATAATCCTTTCAAGAAGAATTAAGTGCATAAACAATTAATTAAGCTTATATCTTTTTATTTTTTACAAATATATTTTCTATTTTAGAATCTTAAATAGATAATATTAATTAATCTGAATTTCTTTAAGTTGAACTTATGACAACTATTACAATTTATGAAAACTTATCAAAAATAATTGAATTTCTATATGAAAATAAGATTACAACATCAAGTACAATTGCATATTCATTAAAAAAAAATGTATCAAAAACTCCAATTTAATCTAAACCTAAACTTAATACAACATAAAAATTAAAAAAATAGAATTATTAAACAGGGAGATATTATATAAATACTAGTGTCAAATTATCAGATGAAATTTAATTATTATGTCCTAAATTTATTAATTCAGTATTAGAATTTATGCAATAATATAATGTATAGTATATAGATAATTTTAGTAATTTAAATTCGTTGAATATCATACAAAAATATAATTGTAGTATAGAACTATTGGAAAAAAACAATTATAAAGATCATATTTCATTATTGAGATATTGGATTTTCGAAAAAAAAGTGGTTAAAATAATGCTATTAAATAATTACATAGTATTAATCTTAAAAATATAGAATAAATAGAAAAATAATAAATTTAGAAATAGTTCTTATTTTCAGATTAAGTTGAATCTACATAATAAAAAGAGTTTTAAAAATATAATAATGATATCTAATAGAATCATGTATCTCATTTAAATGAGATTTCTAAATCTGGCAGTGAAAAACATTTAAAATAACGTAATAATTTTCTAAAGTTGTTATCTTATGAAAATGATCTTGTATGTCTATAAAAATAAGAGAATTAATCCTTATCTAGTTAATCATCAAATACTTTAAAAATACAAAATCTTATTATTTTTAATGATTTTTAATTTTAAACAAAGATGAATAAAAATCTGAAAATAATTCTATTTTTTACAATGATATCTATAATGATTTTGGTTTCAATAATTACATATAATATTCTACTAATTAGATACTAACTCTCTGAATAAATTAATAGTAGCTCTTCTTTAAATGCACCCCTTTTATTTAATAGATACTTTTTTTAAAGTTATGCTCTATCTTGGACTTTATTAATGAATGGACTTAATATTGTTGATTAAAGTGATTATTTACAAAATCAAACCTCTTTTACACTAAAAAATATGGAACGAGAAACATTTCAAAATTTAAGTAACATGTATCCAAAATTCTTAGAAATTGAAAATATGGGATTGCTTTAAAATATTAGTTTGAAAATTTTGCAACTTGAAAGATAAACAGTATCTTATACAGAATTTATAACTTATATTTAGAATACTTTATAATATCTTTTTTAATTTAATCTATTTTCTAAAGAACATAGATAAAAAGTCTTAGTATTAGATTTTGTTAACTCAGTTGTTACACTAAGATATAATATCAAATATGTTTTTGATATGAATAAAGAACTCATTGAGTCTTTAGATTAAATGTATTAAAATTAGATAAAAAATAATAATTCTAATTTAAAAACTGTGTTAATTACTGAAATCTGTATAATATTCATATTTTAGTTTATTTAATTGTATTTCTGGAAAAATTTTGAAAATTAGAAGTAATAAATTTTAATTTTAGTTGGGAAATTTTCTGAATCTAAGGCAAATGAAATGATTATACTTCATCAAAAATATAAATCAATAATATTGTAAAATGAGAAATAACAAATCAATTGGAAAATTCAAAATTTTACTTAAATATAACCTGTCAATATTGTAGGAGAAGAAAAAAAAGTGTTTAAAATGAACATATAAAAGAGAGATAAAATAAAAGGAAAGGGAATTTTGAATTCAAGGGTAATAAATAATTCCTATTCAAATAAAAAATATATTTTCTATTATATTATCCTTTTTTTGATACTATTTAGTTTTTTATTTGGAGGTTATTTTTATTATAGTTTTTTAATGAAAAAGCTTTAACCTCAATAATAATTAGCAATAAACTTTATTAGATTTTCATCCTACTTTGATACTCTAATTACTACCGCCTTAGTTATTAAAACTTAACCTTAAATTTATCCTGCAATTGTCTCAAACAAAATTTATACTCAAACTTAAATGAATAAATATAGAGATCCATTAAAATAATTATTTCACATGTTTCTTG